AAAAATATCCGATGATCGCTTATGTAAAATAAAAATGATCGGCGAAATTCGTCAAAATTTTACCGAGGCGAGTGCCTCGGTTGGCCTCATACTAGCTACGACGCTGATTATTAATCCATGCCATTTCGTGTCGTTTTAAAGACATCTCTTTCAAAGAAGCCCCGTCCTATGTTTCGCCGTTGTTTTTTTGCCATTGTAACTGTCCTGTAAATCAGTCCCTCTTTCTTCGTCGTAGTGTGCTGCATAGCCGTTCTTTGTGTTGTCAAGCAACACGGCGTGACGACACAAAAAAATGTTTAATAGAGGAAGGAAGTAGGCTTCTTCGAAGCCGTTTCGGGATGTCACGCAATGGCGGTTGTTGTTGGCACGGCCGCGGCCGTCGTTGTCGCATGGGAGCTTAAGCAACGAAGACGGCGACGACAACGAGAATGTAATAAACCAATAGGTTTAGAATGGCAAAATAACAACCTTGCACGCGGATTACACTTCCCTGTACATTCCTTTACCGACTACGACGTGAAAATGCCTGTATAATTTCACGCTTGAAGACAGTAACACAAAACAACACTAATTTTCCTTTTCTTTTCCTGAACTTTGATACAACCTTTAAGAATTCAGCTCCAAAGAAATTTGCAACATTTGACGAATTAAACGAGATGGAATAAGCGCGATAAAGTTGAGTCGAGATCGCGTTGACCTCGACGAGATCTCGGGGAGATTTGTAATGTCTCTGAGATCGCAACGAGATCTCGCTGAGATGAAACTGATCTCGTTGAGATTAACGAAATCTCGACGAGAACTCGGCGAAATTCGTAATGTCTCTGAGATCGCGGCGAGACAAACGAGATCTCGCCGAGATCTCGTCAAGAACTCGGCGAGATTTGTGATGTCTCTGAGATCAGCTGAGATCGGCACGAGATGAAAGGGATCTCGGGCGAGATACTGTCGAGATCTCGCCGAGACTCGCGTGAGATGAAAGATATTTCTGCAAGACAAACGAGATCTCGCCGATATGAAAGAGATTTCTGCGAGATAAACGAGATCTCGCCAAGAACTGGGTGAGATTTGTAATTTCTCTGAGATCGCGACGAGATCTCGCCGAGATGAAAGACATTTGGGCGAGATAAAAGAGACCTCGCCAAGAACTCTGCGAGATTTTGCGAGATCTCGGTGAGATCTGGTCGAACCTAAGGCCCTCATTTACATGAAGGTGGGGGACCCTGTAGAAGGCCTAAATGTAATAAACGACCCCAAATGTAATAAAGTCCTAAATGTAATAACATTTTGTCCTAAATGTAATAAATATATTTCTACGCTTTTCACAAACGCGCTAATTCGCGTAAAATCGGTTCATTTCCTTATGCACTCTGAAACTTAACGTTTACAAATAAATTGCTTGTAAACGACAAAGTAACAGTATTTTTCTAAAAAGCAATATTTAAGCAACTGGAAAACTTTTTCCCTGTGATTGCATAGCCTGATATAAACACTCAAGGGGTTGGGACAATTCGAGACAGTTATGCAAACCCTCGACTTCGTCTCGGGTTTGCATAACCGTCAAGAATTCTCCCAACCCCTCGAGTGTTTATATAAGGCTATGCAAACACAGGAAAAGAGTTTTCTATTGCTTTTATGAAATAACTTTCCCGAGAAAAAAAGAAAAACTCTTTGTTCAGGTTACTGATTAAAAGAGAAATTCTTACAAGTCGCGAAGTCTTGTGCACGAAGCTTAATAGACGTGTAATCAGTTCTTGTTTGCAATAAAGATACTTCCCAAAAAAATGTCAGCTCAAGCGAAAAAAAATTGGCGAAGTATGTTTGTAAAGATTTTCCAAGTTTCATCCGACGAGGGAATGGGTAAATAAAGTAAATTTGTGGAGTTTTCAACTCAAAAACATTTTAAAATTCCTGCTTGTGTGATTAGCGCGCGAATTAAGAGCAAAACATCTTGACTCCACACATGTTTACATACTCATGCAAACACATCTCTCGGGCAATCAGGGCGCGCGCGTGCTATCTTAGTTATTTATAAACGTTGTTATCAGCTATGCAGTAGTATTTAGGCCCTGTTTACATTGAGGTGGGGGACCCCAGGTAGGTGGGGTAACCCGCTTTGGTGGGTAACCCGCCTGTATACATAATCTCTCATTTAAATTTGACCACGTTTACATGATACGTGGGGTGACCCGCCTCATGTTACCTTACCTATCTGGGGTCCCTCACCTCCATGTAAACAGGCCCTAAACTTCTCGTTTTTTGTTCTTGATACTTTAGCTGATTAGATTAGATCTCTTTTCTAGAGATCTAACGTTGACAAACAACAGGATCTTAGTCCACGGTTTTTGCAGTAAATTTCTTCAACAAAAATGAAGTATGAAAAACTTTTAAAGGCTGACAAGTTTTTTTCTTTTATTTTGTCCCTTTACAAGCAATTTATTTTTAAACGTCAAGTTACACAGTGCATAAGGAAGTGTACCGAAGCTTATTAAATTTTTTCTCCACAAATACGGCGCTTAAAACCATAGTAATACCTCTTAGTACTGTATTTACGCAAATAAGCGCCGCGGCGCTTATTAACCCCAATGCGGCGCTTATTTGAGTAATTACTGTAATTTGCAACTTAAGAGTTTATTACATTTAAGGCCCGTTTACACGACCGAAAAAATTGGAACGGCTAGGATAAAAAGACGAACGGCTTCGACAAAATTTGACGTGTAAACAGTACTTGACCCGTTCCAGTTTTATCCGTTACGTTCCTTAAAAGGTCCACAGGCGGCTATGGACCCCTTTCTGAACGGAACCGATAAAAAACGGTTCCGTAGCCACATTTTTGTTTTCTTTTCAACGTGTAAACGCTCGCCCTTTTTTCGGTACCGTTCTGTTACGTTTTTTTCTGAGCCCGTGGTGCTCCACGTCAGTTGTTTAGCCTACGTCACAAGCGTGTTAGAAGAAGAAACTGGAAAGTATTCTTAGATACTCGAAAGCTAGCATACCATTGATCGTCAGGGTAAGTGCTCGATCTATGCAAGATCAAACCAAGCGCTTGTTCTTGGAATTTGCCACAAGCTCCTTTCGACTGTGAAGTGCGATACAAGGGCTGTTAATAGAAGAACCGTAAGCCTCGTTTTTCTCCTATAAATTCGGTACATTCTCTCAGAAGCACTTCTTTGAAGAATCGCAAGCTCAGTCAAACGTGAATTTCGTGTTCTCTTCTTTAGAAGAAACCAGAAAAGTGCTTGTAAACCTGCATCCATGATTGTCGGGGATACGCACGGTCTACTGTATGTGTAAGCGCATATGAACAACTATTTTTTTATTTTTTTTTTCTTATTTTTTATTGCAAGTAAAACACAAACAGAAAGGAAAAAAAATTACTCAGAATAAATAAAGCAACAAAAAGAAAAAAAAATAGCGAATTTACACACTTACATGGCCATACTTACAAATATTAAACTAGATTACAGCAGTGCTAATTCCTTATACTACTGTACTTAGTATCATCTATAATTAATTTTTACAATTTTTTTTTGCTTTCTTTGTGGTGAAAGTAATATAAATATTCATGGTAGGTGCAGATATTACTAATTTATGTTTTTGGAGTTAGGAGACAAGACCCAGCGAGGAAAAGAAAGGAACAACTAATCGAAGCAGTTTTATTTAATTATCCCTGGCTCTATCGTTACTGGTCTCGAAGAAAACAACGTGTAAACAGTTTAGTACCCGTTCCAAGGGGCTAAGTTCCTTTACCCATCCCATCACCATTAGGGTAGAGAAGAGCGCACACTTTGTAACCAAATCGTCCAACGTAGAAAGGAGGAATCGAAGGAGGAATCGTCCAACGTAGAAACGCCATCTATAAACAGATGGCGTTTTACCAGAAACAGCTTCCTGAAATCTCCGGCTAAAATGGTCGATTTTCCAAAGGTAAACCCCATCGTAAGAAGTAGCCTCCAGCATTCTAACCTGAAGATCCTGTTCAGATAGCTGAATTTCATGTAACGCTAGTTGGTGCTCAGTTCTGTCCAAGCCCCGGTCGCAGGAAAGATGGGAGGAGCGAGACAGGCTCTGGACCCCGAAGTCATTTCGGCTACGTGGAGAAACTCTCATACTCTCCAACTCACTTTGTAAGCATTGCACTTTTCTTTCATGTTCTCTTACAGAGTGAAGAATCCCCTCCATTTGAGACGAAACAACAGGTTCAATTCATTTTCTCCGGCGCGTTTGAGTGCTTCTAGATCATGATAGAGTTTCTCGAAGTCTTTTTGTTGATTCTCTTATCGATTTTTCTATCCTTGATAGTTTGGTTTGCTGTGTTTGTATGTTGATTCTTGCAGCAACAAGTTCTTCGGTTTGGTTTTGAAGCTGACGCTCTAGAATGCTTTTCTCGTTAATCAGACCGGAAACTTGTTCCTCCAATTCTTTCTGTTTGAGGATGTACTCACATATTGAATGGTTCATCATTTCCAGATGGTCGGCCATGCTATCCTTGACGTGCTGGTCAAGGTTTTCTTTTGTTCCCTTCGTTAAAGTAACATAATTCAAATTTAGTCTTTGTGCATATTCCAACAAAGAAATAATAAAAGAAAAAGAAAGATAAGGATATAGGAACCGAGTAAGCGCGAGATCAACTAACGCAAAAGTAGCAAGCGTAACCCCCGATGGACCTTGGGAGAGTCTTGTATTTGTGACTTGGGGCAACTTTTACACACGATTATTATTATATCTGTGATTGACGAGATTACGGAGGTTATGGCCGACAGAAGCTCATATTCATCCCTCCCTTTACAAGGGCCATTTCCTACTAACAGTGTCTTACCCTATATAGCTACCAACACAACCTAACTAATCGCTAGGACTAAAGTTTCTTAGAAGCACAGCCCGTCCACAAAATTAACCACACTGTTTGCATCAAAGGCTATATTTAATGACTGAGAGGGAATAAGCACGACATTACAAAGAAGAGGGAGCATTGGGAAACCGCTTTTTAGATTAAGTAAGCTTTTTGTAACTTTAACTAGAGCAAAATGCTACGATAGCAAACAGTAATTCAAAGCAGTTTTCTCGGCCTCATTATGCTTGCTCTAAAAGACAAACCGTAAATAATACTTACTCTATAATGGCAACCTTGACAATTGAAAGGGCATGAATGTTCCGCCTTAGGGCACAGTGTAGTCACGTGTTCCTCCATCATGTCACGCGGTATGTTGTCTTGACCACATTTCAGTTTGCATTCGATGGGAAATTTAAGACAGACTTCTCGATGATTCTAAAAGGAAAATGGCCGTGATGATTAAAAGTGCATTGCAATGACGGACTGGCTAAAGTCCAGTTATGGACTTTAGCCTTTAGCCTTTAATGAACATAAGCCCATTTATCTATGGTAAGTATTTCACATTTCCAATCAGTATCCGGGAATCTGTATCATTTATTCAATAATGGCACGTGATTGCGCCTAATCCTTGTGTTATAGACAGACTTTATGGCGTGATTCAAAGGAACCTCCACCAATTTTAGAAATATCGAAACTTGGGAAATAAAATGGCACTTTTGCTCGCCTTCAACGAAAAATTGAGATATTTTATGCACTGTTTATGAGGCGCAAATACTTTTTTTTAGTAGGGTGTATATAAAGGTGAAGCTCATGTATTTCTTACCTCCATGTTGCTGTGGAGAACCTCCCCACCACAGTATGTACAGGCCACGGCTCTGTTCATACAGTCCTTTGTTCTGTGTTGTTCAAGACTCCTTCTCTCCACTGACTCTCCACATGCTTGGCACTGCTCGTCGCCATGCTGACAAATATCTTCATGTTTCTGCAAAAATGACAGGAGTCAGCTTTTAAGTAAGAAAAATCGAGATCAATAGCGAAAGCTTAGGTGTCTGCCCCGTTCAGAACGCGACGCGGAACGGATGAGCAGTTATTCACATGTGAGAAAAAATGTGAAGAATGACTTGGCCTGCGTCACTTCCGTCGTTTGCAGCGTGGTGGGCCTCAAGAAAGCTAGTGGGTGGCTGTTTTGGCAGTTTTCAAAATTTCTATGGTCGGAGCACCGGCCGGTCTATACAGCACCACGTCACGCGCATCGCAGAACAAAAAAAATGAGATACCAGG